CAGATCAAGCTGCTGGGTCGGATGGAGACCGGCTCAGATCACCTGAAGCCCCCGCCCACTGTTAGTGAGCTGCATGAGAAACTGACGGGCTGTCAGGAGAGAGAGAGAAGGGCGAGAGAAGATGAGAGAGAAGAGAGAGGGAGAGGAGAGAGAGAGGAGAGAGAGAGAGAGAGAGAGAGAGAGAGAGAGAGGATCTGTTTCTCCCGTGTTATTTTTAAGTTAATGTAAACTTTTGAATAATGTACTTTATCTACTACAAGTAGTTTGTTTGAATGTAATAATTATGTTGTTTGTGGAATATTTTTTTTAAAAATGAATCTGAATTTTCGATCTGTTCGATTATAAACTGAAGCAATATAAAAATGACTCCCATTAACTGAGTTGTAAACATCAGCATATCCGGTCCTAGTCCGGTAATTACCTGCTAACGGAAACTTTGCTATACCATTGTTACTATTATTATTGAAACATGACCGGTAAGTTTCAAATGTGTCCGGTAAAATTAATTATTTCCGGACATTTAACCGGCAAGAAAAAATCCTAGCGGAAATCCTGCTCCACGCATCTTTGCACATGTTTACAGAGAAACACACTCACCCTGGTCGTAGAGGTGCTGGTGCAGGGCGTCCAGCCAGTCCTCCAGCTCCTCTCTGGTTTCCGTCGTGAAGACGATGGTCTCAGAGCCCTCTGGTGAGGGGTTGCTGATGGACAGGCTCCTGGACTTATGTCCTGATGACTCTTTTTCCATCACACGGACTCGAGTGTCCTGCAGAAACATCACAGAAAACATTGATAAGCTGAAAATGAGTTCCACGGTGATCAAATAAGGGTTATTTGAAATACTGCGAAACAAAGAACAGCGCTGAAATAGCAGAAAATACGTTATTCAGCAGCAAAATGCCAACGTTGCAAGCAGGATCTCAGTAAGTAGCGTGGCATTTTATATTTTGGTTGTTCTGCAAATGTTAGGATTAGGTCATGACCGAAAGAACGAGATCGCGGATACAAGCGGCCGAGATGGGTTTTCTCCGCAGGGTGGCTGGCGTCTCCCTTAGGGATAAGGTGAGAAGTTGAGTCATCCGGGAGGGACTCGGAGTTGAGCCACTTCTCCTTCGCGTCGAAAGGATCCAGTTGAGGTGGTTCGGGCACCTAGTTAGGATGCCACCTGGGCGCCTCCCTAGGGAGGTGTTCCAGGCACGTCCAGCTGGGAAGAGACCAAGGGGTAGACCTAGGACCAGGTGGAGGGATTATATCTCTTCGCTGGCCTGGGAGCGCCTTGGGATCCCCCAGTCAGAGCTGGTTGATGTCAACAGGGAAAAGAAAGTTTGGGGCTCTCTGCTGGAACTGCTACCCCCGCGACCCGACCACGGATAAGCGGGAGAAGATGGATGGATGGATGGATGCAAATGTTAGGGGAATCTCTGAACTGAGATTTGAATCAGTGTCTGAACGTGGTGGAGGTATATTTGAATTCAAGCATCATCCTAACCCTGAAAATACCATGTCTTACCTTGTTAACGGGCACTTTGAGAGAGGGCTGCACTTTAGCATCAATTTCTTCCGGGGTGAAGTAACAGGACAGAACCCCCGCACTGAGGACACAGTAGAGACTGCAGCAGTGGTACATCCCCTCCACACTTAGCTGAAAATCGGCAGAGAAAAAAAAAAGTATTAAAGAAACTGAAATATTAACCCAGGAACCAGCTATCAAGCTCCGGGTTCATACACTTTTTCACCAATGATTTTCAATGACAAAAACAATTGCTCTCTCAGCGGTACCAATGAAAATGGTTTATTTTAACATGGAAAAGGAAATAAGGTCTGCATATGAAACATGTTGTGCCTATCTAAAAAAAATCAAATAATAGGCTTACTAGCTTCTACAGGCTAAAGCAACTAAAATCTCTCACCAGCAAAATACCTCGACAGTTAAATGCCATTTTACGTTCATTACTATACGATATACGAGTATATATTATCATTATCGTATTACTATTTCGGCGATTAGATAAAATATAAATTATATTTGATTCAACTTAAATTACATTTCCATGACTTTTCCAAAACTTTGGGAAAAATATTGTTTTCCATAACTTTTCCAGGGCCTGGAATTAGCATTTTGAATTTCCATGACTTTTCCAGGTTTTTAATGACAAGCTAACAAGTAAATATACCTTCTGGTTTAGGTAGCCGCTCATCATGCTCTGTGTCATGCAGGAAGGCTGGGCCACCACCCGGCAGCAGAGGTTGCCATAAAGTGGAAGCCATGACGACGACTCGTCTGTGGGAATGACAAGCAGCATAGGTAATACAATCGATATGTTAATCCTAATCAAATACTATATGTATTTTGTAAAGAACAAAGGTAGAATAGTTCAAATCTTGAGTGAAAATGTAAAACCACATAATTAAATTACTTTTAGCGTTAAATGTGAAACAGTTGAAAGGCTGACGTGTTTTCCTGTCACATTTACTATACCCTAGGGCTGCTCAATTAATTGTATTTAAATCACAATTACGATTTTGGCTTGCAACAATTATGAAAACAACATAATCGAAATAAAACGATTATTTATTTATTTGTATTTATTAAATTATTTCTTTTACTGGTTTTTCAGTTGAATTATACTTCAAGTTCAGGGTAATCAACGGTTAAAAACATACTGTTCAACTTTTTTTTTCAATAAATGGATATTTTCAAAGTAAATGGATAATCGTTTTTAATAATCGTGATATCAATTATTGACCCAAATAATCGAGATTATGATTTTTGCCATAATCGAGCAGCCCTACTATACCTTATAAAATACACAGTGGATCTGAAAACCACATCATATCAAAGGTTTACCCCTGAAATGACAGCTAGATAATTAAAACCTGCCTCGGCACCAACTTATCCACTTATCCACTCACGCAACGGAAGAAAAGTAATCCAACGTGAACCTCAATAATAGGTTATTTGTTTAATTTTTGTTTTTCATTTTAATGGTGTTGAATTATAATTTATTGTATTACTGCTTCCGAAATGATTCAAATCATGGACTTAAAAAAGTAATCCCTTAATAACCCCAGATATTAAATGTCTGTGCGTTTGCTTCTTACCGCCTTGGAGGACGATGAGGGAGTGTGACTGGAAGCTGCCTTCAGCGTCAGGCAGACACAGCGTGGTGTAGGCCAGCAGGCTGTACTTGGCTCCACTGGTAAACATACAAACATATATACAGAGTTTGTACAAAGATTCTTGCAGCCTGTACAGCCTCCAGCATTTTGATCTAAAGAATGATCTCCTTCTTCAAAGCCCCTCACAGTCCCAATGTTTCCCCTCCCACTGAACAGGTGCTGTGCATCACTTACAGATGTTCAGTTTGGGAGATTCCCTTGATTATATAAAATCTGCAAAGCATGCTTTTCCTTGCGGATATTTCAATAACATAGTTGAAATGTATGGGCTCAGAACAGTCTCATAATACACACATGCACACAGAAGGATCCACACTTGTGTTTTTCAATGCACACACAAATGTATTCCGTTTCATATACATGTAAATAAAATCCAAATACAGAAAAAAGTTTTACATATGTATTTTTGATCCTCACATATTTGTTTTCCGTTTAAAACCGCTGAACCTGCAAACACAAACCGCTTTCTATGCATGGATCGCTGTGCATTTGTGTGTGGGTTTTTTGAGACTCCCCTGACGGTCAGCCGATTCGTACTTGTAATTTTTTCTATCTATAGCCAATCAGATGTCTCCTCAATTCTAAGCCAATCACATGAGCGCGCCCCCACGAGGGTAGATTTCTTGCGTTCATGACGTAGTGCTTCATGTACGCAAACGGAACACATTTGTGTGTGCATTGAAAAACACAATTGTGAATCCTTTTGCAGATCATGAAATACAAGTGTGAATCCTTCTGTGTGCATGTGTGTATTATGATACTGTTCTGAGCCCATATAAATTGGCACAAAAAAAGTCAGTTAAAGGCTAACGTAATTGTGTTCATAACCCAAATATGGGGCGGTTTTGGCGCAGTGGCGAGCGTTGATAATCAGATCAAGGGGCGTTGGTGAACTCCAGTTCGAAACCCGCCTCGACCGCCACTGCGTCAGGCAAGACACTCTACCCGCATTTGCTCCTGTGGGTAATGTCCACAGTATTGACATTTACATGTCTAATATGTGTAATGTGTAATTGTAAAGCGCTTTGAGCACCTGTAAAAGCGCTCTAATTAAAAAATGTAATCCATTATTATTAAATATGTTTCATTTAGTGTGATTTGTCAATAAACACCTGCAGCTACATCTTTTGTTCCAGTAACATGTTGTTTTTGAGTTTGTTCCCAACTAGAACAATCTTAAAAAGGAAGCCAAGAGTCTGTAAAAGGTTTTATGGGATAGCACAGTACATACGGGGGAATGGGGTTGTACTGCAGGAAGGTGTCAGGGTCGGGGCTGTCCAGCAGAGGGCAGAGCTTCTTCCCAGCTGTCTTTCCAAAGGAGTTGCGGAGCTTCTTGGCCAGTTTCTTTGGCGTATTCACCATGGTGAGCTCATCCTCCAGGGCACAGCTCCACAGCTCCACCTTCAGCTCAAACTGAGGATCTGCATCTTTACTGGGAGAGAGGACAGAGACATTTCAAATAAGAAAACAAACATTAAAATGTAGATAAACCATGTTAATTTTTAGGATGAAAATCAAACCTAAACCATCACTTAAGACTCATAAATAATACATGTTATTGCCCAGTAATTGTAGCCAGTATTATCCCTGCAACAGATAGCAAGAAAAAACTAAACATATTTTGAAATTCAAGAACAACTAGCAGCCACATGTCCTGAATATAACCCTAAAATACAACGTCTTCCTCCAGCATTGTAAAGCAGCTCGTAAAGGAAGTTTCCAAAAGTAAGTACAGCTGAACAAGGTGTATTAATACTGTGTTTTGAATATGTAAAGTAAGAACTCACAAGACAGTGACTCCCTCAAAGCAGATGTCAGTGACTGATCTGTCCACCACTATCATTTCTGTGGCAAACACCTCTGAGCCCATCTGCATCAGACAGAACAACGCCACTCGACGGGAGCCTGATAAACAGAAGGGATGTATGTGTGTGTTAGTGCAGCAAGTATCCACAGATTAACACGAGGCTTAACAGAACAGGGGGATTGGATGTTGGCAAAACAAAGACAAACGTACTCCCTCTGTTGTTAAAGTAGGCTGAATCCCTCCACATCAAAGGAAGGCGCAGCCCTGAATCAGCAGAGGATAAAAGTGAATAAACGAAGCATGTCGTTTTAAAGTTAATTTGTTCTATATAAAACATTTTGTAATTTTTCCTGCACACAGACTCTCCCGATTTAAATGATCTTGCACAAAGGGGAGCAATCTTACCAGACATTGCAATTGTCCCATTGCAGGGCACATGGTCATCTGAAACTGGATCTGAAAATCTGGGGAAAAAAACAAAAAGTACCATTATAATTGATCACAACATAAGTCAATAGATGAGAGTCACACATGCGTCACTTCCGGACAAAAAGTACGGCTCCGCCCACTTTTGGGGGAAAACAAAGCTGTCATTTGAATGGCGGTCAATGTAAATTCTGAAGTTTTTGCCAATCCGATCAGAAATTTAAGAAAACCGTGGATTTTTGGATCTTCAAAGAGCCCGGTTACGATGGCCAGACAGGCAAACAATTACATTAAATCATTGGAAATCAATCTGGCTTGATATATGGTTAATATAGCAGTAGGCTATCGATGTCCGTGGATGAGAGTAACATCTACGTCACTTTACGGCCCCGCCCACTTTTGGGGGAAACCAACGCTGTCATTTGAATGGCGATCAAGCCTGAAGCCACAGAGCTCTTCTGTAACGGTACGTCCACACAGCAGCTTTGAAAAAATCTTGAAAATCTTGGAGCTGGGCGTGTCTGAAAGCTTGGGGATTTTTTGCGAGCAACGCGACCAACAACCAATCACATGAATCTCCCGCCCCCGACATACAAAGCAAAAAACCCCGGGGATTTTATGCGAGCAATATATATATATATATAATATATATATATATATATATAAACTCCCCAAACAGGCGAAAACCTACCAGTTTCACTCACTGTCTCTGCCACCTCCCTCCATGCCTGGTTCCTCCGGTTTGTATCCCGGTAAATAGTCTGGTCGTAAAGAACCGGGTGATTTGCTACCGTAATTTCTTGTTTGGAATATGAGGAAATGAACTGCGGTCTGGCTTCTCCCATGCTTAGCACGCGGTTTGATTGGCTAGCGCTTGTACTGTCAGATTTGCATAAACGGGATTTGATTGGCTGACGCTTCCAGCTCAGCTTCAAAAGTTGAACATTGCTCAACTTTTGAATCCTGAAAATCCTGGAAATCCTGGAAATCTTCGCTTCGCTCCCCCACAATGCAGTTCGGCGAAAAGCGAGGCAAAGTGACGTCATCCCCATTCAAAGTCAATGGGCAGAGAAGCGTTGGAAGCGTTGGAAGATTTGTTTAAAGCTGCTGTGTGGACGTACCGTTACTGTCCTTTCTTCTTAGAGGAAGTACAGAAACACTGAACTCTGGATTTGTTTTAATGTTTGAGGTCAATAAACGACACAGCAGCTTGTTGGCATGATAAAACTATTATTTTCCGCCTCGCTCATGAGAGTAACAGCCGGCGAAATTACAGCCTCGCCTACTGATTTTAATTTAACCATATATCGAGCCCGATCGTCGATTTCAAATGATTTAATGTAATTGTTTGCCTGACTGGCCATCGTAATCGGGCTCTTTGAAGATCCAAAAATCCAAGGTTTTCTTAAATTTCTGATCGGATTGGCCAAAACTTCAGAATTTGTATTGACCGCCATTCAAAATGACAGCGTTGTTTTCCCCCAAAAGTGGGCGGGGCCGTCATTTTCGCCCGGAAGTGACGTAGGTGTTACTCTCATCTATACATTACATTTTAAAACCCTCTTTTCAGAACCGACTTGTGGATTACTTAAGTCCTTGCTTGTATTTTTCACTAATTTCCCTCTCAGTTTATTTCTCCATTGAAGTTGAGATTTCTAAATATATTACAGTCCGATCTATGTCTTTATTTTTTGATAGTGTATGCTGAAACTGAACTCCAGGGATTGCAACTAAAAAACTTGAATTGAATCTTTATACTTGTGGAAACAGTAATCCCCCAATTCCCTACCTCATGGCTCCCCCCATGTCCTGCTCCCCTTTCTTCCTCTGCAGCTGTGAGACATAAGTCTTGATCCTGGCGTTACAGGTCAGCAGGTTCTTGGAGGCATTAAGAACCTGTTCTCTCTTACTGCAGGCGAGAAGCAGCTTGTAGGCTCCCTCCCGCATTCGCATCTCAAAGTCAAGCTTTTCTTGGATGTTGGTGTTCTTCATGGACAAAACAAATAGAGGAGAAAGTTCAATCAAGGATCCATCAAACAACATGCTATTAAGAGACAGACGACATGAGTTAGAGGAAAGTAGCCCTTGAATGTTGTTTGGCAAGAGAGAAACGTCCCTTCAAGTGTCAAAGGTTTTATATAACTCACAGTAATGCGCAAACATGTCATATACACAAACAAGAACTCGTAAAGACGGCAACCTCTTTCAGGTTCTACGGTGCACGTAACCTTGTGAGAGGAGTTGTTTTGTTGGTAAAGACGGCACAGTGATTTGCGGCACAAAACAAATGTGCACTGTCTTACTGGCACAATCAGAGCTAAAGCTTTCAGAGTTCATTGTGAAAGACAGATATACGACAACTAAATAATACAAAGCTTTCAGGGAATGTGATCTTCTCACGTTGCTTGAAGCTATCCCTACAATGATACACTGATATATAAAGCTGTCAAACTTGTGGCAGTGAAGCCAACATCTTTTCATCACTCAAGAGCAACTATTTCTGGCAGAGTATAAGGTTAAATGATGCATGTAGAAGGGAAGAGGAGTGGTTAGTTTCATGATATGCTAGATAGAGGGAGACACTAACAATGAGTATGTATGTGAATGTATGTGGATCATATGCGCTTAGGATGGCAATGATGCAGAATGTAAATATATGAATGGCATGTTACAAGGAGAGAGTGGCAGGAAAATATATTACTTTAGTTAAACTAGGTGTACACTAAATGGAGTATGATGTTTTTTATTTTTATAATCTGGTCTACATAATTCTTATTTCAAAATACCATCTTTATCATTTGGTAAGGTAATTCGGTCTTGATGGGTTTTAAAATAATCAAGTTCCGATGCACGTTTTTAAGGAGGCAAACACCATCTTTCTCCATAGGACATCTCAAATATGCACCTGTAGCTTTAAATTAACACCTCTACTATGTGCTGAGGGTCATTTAGAAGTCTCATGCTTTTTGTTATGGAAATGACATTAGTTTGAGCTGTGTTAGAGCAAAGAGAAGAGCACCTTTTGTGCACAACATTAGACAATGCAGAGTGCACATGGGTCTGGTTTCAGGGAACAGAAAACGTTAAAAGGGGAGGCTCCCCTGTGAGACAATGATGACTGCTGGCCTCTTATTATACATCCATGCTGCTGGCCCGTCAAACCAGCTTTGTCCCAGTGAACTGAAACAGTGGGCGATGGTGACATTTAGGGATGATTTTCCATTAATGGTTAACTTATAATGAGCAAAACATTCCGGTCTAAACATAACGTAAAATACAATTCGGCTATCAATTTGAAAACAGCAAAATATAATTTGGGATTAATAATTTGATTTATTTTATCGAAAATATTTCACACACAAATGTTGTCATTATTGCTTCACTAAATGACATGAAATGATTTATAAAATAATGTAATATAATGTTTGGTTTTTGTTTTCTGTTCATTGTGCACTTAGTTTTGAATTAATGTATGTCTTTTTCTGATGTTTTTGATTAATTGCTCAATAAAGTTGGGTAAAAAAAATAGTGTGTGATAGTGTGTAGCCTATGCTTGAGGAAAACGATAGAACATTGAAGTCGTTTTTTTAAAGTTATTTAAGCACAGCCAACCAAAAAGCTAGTTATATAGTTATTACTGAAGCATTCTAAGCAAAAATGACCCGCATATATTAACCTGTTAACGTTAGTTTTGATGCACTTTGGACCCCCTGTAACCGAAATGTCACTTTGATTCAGTGTTGACGGCTTAACAAAAAATGCCACTCTATAAACGTTATCCCTTCGCCCCTACATACCTCAGTTTGCAGGAATAATGTACTCTGTCGTATTTTCTTCCGTTTAATCTCCATAGCCACAGCGGAACCGGCCGATAAAACCGACCTGGAGCTACCGTTTCGTTTGGAGGTTTGAACATCCCGCTGGTCGTCCATGTTTCCGTCCGTTCGCTAGCAACAGTAGCATGAGCGCATTCCTGCTCCAACTGCCGACGCCCCTCCAACAGACAGGGGAGCTCGATTTGTGACACGTCTTCTACCGCTATGAGGACATTATCAGATAAATACCAAGTAAGTGCTACAAAAGTTACATTTATATACACTGATTACAAGTATTTAAAATATTTTGGTGAGTTTAAATGTAATACGGATTAAGTGATGCATTACCCATGATGTTCAAACTAAAATGACGTTAACTTCTAATAAGTACACAACAGATCTTAAAAAAGAGACCCAAATGTCAATGCAGAATTTAATGTAATCGTGGTGGTAAAAAACACGGAATTAGAAAAAATTGCAACATGTTATAAAATTGCACAGCTCAGATTAATTTCGAAAATAAGAAGAAAACAACGCTCCATCTTTCCAACCGGCACGTCCGAGGACTTAAATTGAGTGCACTCACGTTGACAGGGAGCCAACGTCATTACGTCACTGCGCCAGACGAATGACAGGAATACAACATTTTCGATTTTGAATTGTTTAGGATGTTAAAAAAAGCAGAACTAATCTAAATGTAAATGTGCAATACATCTTCGGGATCATGACAAACGTGTTATTCTTAGTTTCATGGTACTGGTTTTCCTAAGTATGCTGCCTGTAGTTAACGTTACATGCAAAGAAAAAAATACACCTGCACATCTTTTCATTAAGCCGTCTCTCTTCAGATGTCATTGGGCTTTCATTATGTATTTGCATAACATATTTAAAAACAGCAACATAGAGTATAATTTGTAATAGTGATATAAAAATCCATGCAAATAATAAATACAAATAGTATTGAAGGGGTGGCTTCTATGTTCTTGTTTTGCAACATCCTAATTTTGCTTAATAGTTTCTTGGTTCCAGGCGGGCATCTTCGTCCATTTACGCTGTGCATCATGCATCAGGCACTGCCTTTAATAATATAATATTGCCAGCTGCGCAGCCCAGCTGATGGTACGGTAAAATGAAGACCCTGAAACGTGACCCGGGAGTCCAGGAAACCCGCCCACCCGGTTCTGGCTGCCATGCTTCTGGTCGAGTTGGAAGCATCCATGGTTGGAAGTGTAGACGCAGGCGCTTCCAGGATGAACTGAGTCAAGCTTGCCCTGCTAGCCAGACACATAAACACAAATCCCGGAAATGCGAAAACTGCTTTCAAAATAAACTGCTTGCTTGGTTAAAAATGAGACAAGATGCATATTTATTCGCCATATCCGGTCTTTACCATAGACTGTATATATAAAGGTCTTTACACAGTGATGCCAACTACGTTGACATATGTAGGGCATTGTCTTAGCCAAAAGCTTTAGTCTGCAGCTTGTATTAATTGTTTATAATGTATCATAATAGGAAGTATTGCAGCTGAAGCTCACACTAACTTGGCATATTTCCCTTTTAATATGGTATTACAAATGAATTCAGGTTGACAACAATTGATGTTCTACTTAAGCTATACATTACCAACATATTTTCTTAGGGGTTCATGGTAACATTAACACACTTTGTACATTATTGCATTTATGGCAAAATATGTCTATTGATTTTAAATGATATCTCTTTTCCTTTTAGAATAAAGTTTGCATTTTTTTTATTGCGGGAAGTTGAACCACATTTTTGCTAAATCACATGATCAATTGTGCATATGGTTGCATATGCAAAGGAGTCCTTTCAGTCTCAATGTAAATGAATGCACATCGTTTTTTTAAACCCAAACATTTGTTTTACAATTAAATATTTTTTGTTTTAAATATATGTAATAGAAATCCAAAAACTAGTACAACCAACGGGTGATGAGTCGGCCTTCATAGAATACAATAGCAATCATAGTTTTCCTACAATATATCAAATAATAGAAAAAGTGATCACCTAATTGTGTGAGGTATGGGTCCCATCTATCCCAGAAGGCATCACCTTTGTCTTTTTCCAGTCTTAAACGTCATACATTCCAAACATTGAACTTTTTAAATTATGACTACCCATTGGCAAAGGTGGGAGCTAAGTACATTTGTTCAAGTACTACTGACTTCAATTTTGAAATACAGTACTTTAATTGAATTTCCATTTTATGCTACTTTGTAATTCTACTCCACTACAATTCAGAAGTAAATGGTGTACTTTTACTCCACTACATGTACCTTACTACTTGAGTAACATTTTGAATACAGGACTTTTACTTATAACAGAGTATTACTCAAGTACAATATCTGAGTACTTCTTCCACCTCTGCCCATTGGTCTATAGTTTGAGGCTCTTTACAAAGTCATCGCTTTGTTATGACTCGCTGTCATAAGGATTTAAAAAATATATTTGTCATTTTTGGGTAATTCAGAGTTCATATTCTCCATGTAAAAGGAAAGACAGGTGACATTTACACCATCACTTACAACCTATAGCATGTACCTTGTGTTAAAACCATCTGTTTTGACGTTTGCTTTGGTGTTATACAACGTCGAAGTTCCTCCACAGTTGTGAGGCTGTGGTAGAGATTTGTGTTTTGATTATAACCCTGTCCATTCCTACTTTTTAATTTATTTTGAAAGGTGTTACCGGAAGTGATTGGCACCTCCGCCGCTTTGACGCGTCTTTCAGGATGTTGGTCCGCTCGCCGCTTCTTCACAGGGAGAAGCGTATCGCTGAGCAACGCAGGGAGATAAGGCCGACGCACAGAGCCAGACGAGCTGCAGCAGCAGGGCTGGGCTCCTCTCACACACACGCGCGCACACACACACACACCTTCAACTGAAACACACAGCAGAAAGGAAAAGGGTAAGTGAGCTGTTGACTTCACTTTTATTTATCGAACAGTAGCTAACGGTGGGCTTTACGCTAGGTGGTCGACCGTTATAAGTTGGAGAAAAAAATCCAGAAAGAGTAGGTTTTCGGCTTTTGTGCTGTCCCGTCTATTGATGTCCATTTGGGGTTTTCCATGTTAATACACAATAACTGTCTGAAGCAGATGTTGGAGCTTCTTACAATTAAAATAATAAACATAGATTCAGTTTGAATGTCTGCAATGTAATAAACAGTTAGGGCATTACTCGTTTATAGCGGATAAACACACTGGTCTGACTCCCTGTTGGCTAACTGGATGGCTACTGTTGTCGGCAGCAGCAGCAGCATGACCAGTCTGCCCTGCTCCGCCTTTGTAAAAAAACACAGCCTCGCCACTTTTATGCCTTTATAAAAACACCGGGCAGGCACGTTTGCCGTCTATGCTACTGTGAGACGGTATTGAGTTGTTGTTTTTCTATTGGTGGCATCCTTCTATAAAAAGCACGGAGGCTACCGAGACAGGATGCACATCAATGAAGGTCGGTTACAGTGAACGCTTTGTGGATACGTATTAACCACGGGCTCCTCTTTGAGGCTATTAATGTTGTCTGGAGGGTTTATTATACAAGTAAGAAGGTGTTTCACAATTGTAATGTAGCTGCAGAGTGTTCTTCGATGCTGGACCCCCCTCCTCTTCTTCTGTGAGGGGGCTTTGTTTTCGTGGGGCAGATGTAGCCGGCCTGCATGCATCCGCTTCCTTTGTGTTGAGTTTGATTTAGCTGTCATCCTCACACAAGATGTACAAACTTGGGGGGAAAGCTAAAAGACGTGCTTCATATCTGTATTACAGTTTATTCAATTACACATTCTAAAATAACAGTACGAAGTGTTTTTTGTGCCTTTTACAGACAATTGTATGCACATCTTAATTGAGTTATTATTGTCTTATCATCAGGCTTAACATACTTTTAAATGCATGGTAATGTCTGCTAAAATGCTTGAAGAGGCATGGCAAATAACAAAGTTACACAGCTGTTCAAAGCATTTGAAAGCGTTTTATTCTTCAGTATTTCTCTTTATTGCATCTATAAATGTTAAAGGTACTAGAAGTGTGCACTCCAAGTCTGGGTTTTTGAAACAGTTACACTATGGGCTGCATGTCAGTGAGTCTTGTCTCCTCCTCCTTCAGCTGTACGAATTCAAATGTCTTGGGTTTGAGCCATAGAATGTGCAGATAATACCAACCAGTCCAGCGCCGCTCCATTTCTTTTCTCCCATTCACTCTGCCATTTCCCGCCTCCTCCCTGTCCTCTTCTCCCGCAGATGTGGACGCTGGCAAGCTTGTTGGCTCCAAAGGCAGTTGCATTTTTAAAAACTGTCAGTGTCACAGGACGGTTGCTGCACTCTGTCCTAGCTAGACTGCAGCAACGTCCTAGCTAGACTGCAGCACAGCCTGCCTCCATACATGTCCCTCTACACAGCTACAGTGCAGATAACATTGACAACCATGCTAATAGGTCATACTTTGACTATGACATTACATTACATTACATTTATCTGACGCTTTTATCCAAAGCGACTTACAATAAGTGCGTTCGACCAACAAAATACAACTTGAAGAAAACAGAATCATATAAGTACATCAGGCTTCATAGAGCAAAAACATTTCAAGTGCTACTCAACTGGCTTTAGATAAGCCAGCCCTTTATTAGTATATAAGTGCTTCGTTAATAGTTCTATCGCTCGATGACCTTTGAGTAGACAAAATAAGTTCAATACCACTTTTAATCCTTTAAATCCTTTTCCAGAATCACCGTACTTTAAGTGTTTCCTGTTCAGTATCATGATTCTGTGCCAATGTGCAATTACGTTAACATGCATAGTTAATGTTTCCTTCAATAATATGACCCTTTTTTCATTTCTAGCCTTTAGTTGGGTTTGAGGAGAGTCTTGTTTGTCCTGCCCACGGCCATTGTGTATAGTAGGAAGTTTAGGAAGTGAGTTCATTTTACTTCAGTTTTCAGGGAGTGCTCTTTGTGACTGAAACAACCTAGCCTGGAACTTAATTCTATCATCTAATCCATTCTGTTTAACTTGTTTTAAACCGTTTTTTGTACCAGGGTTACTGTGGCTAAAAATAGCAGTGAATCTCACTTCTGCCAGAGGAGACACTTTCAAAGGGTTATGAGAGTCAAATAGATTTGCCTGGTGAAGCTCCGGCTTGTGTGCAGAGTCACAGAGAGAAACAAGGCAGGCGATCAGACGGAGAGAGAATAGCAGAAAACAAGAAAAACGCATGAAGTAATTGATATAATAATCATCAGCCTCCACCCTTGTTATGGAACATGATGGGTGTGTCTGCTTTCTTTCCTGCATTCAGTTAATTTCTAAAAATGAAAAGTAAAATAGAGTGACCTTCGCAGCTGGTTTGGGGTGTACCATACTCCTCTGATCCCCTTCTGGTGTTTTGTGCTTCTTTCCACTGCAGATATTGATCTTGTATTTGGGCTGTTTCCATTCCCATCTGTCTCCTTCTGAATGTCCTGTTATGCTAGCGTTGATATTTTGATTTCATCCTAAGTGCCAGTGTGGGTTTCACTATTTGTGTCTACTGCTCCAGCTATTGCTATGGGCAATACATTCTGTTGTCATAATCATTGTGGCAGGGTTGGCCAAATACTAATGTTCCTGTTAAAGAGCCATGGGTCAGTCATTATCTGCTCAGCAGGGGCCAAGCACTCAGCAGAGCAGACCTGCACTATACCTGACACACTGTGTGCTTTGGCTCCTATTGGTGTACAGGGATTTATTCATTTATATCATAATGATTAAAGACAGAATGAAAAGTCAAACTTTAAAACCTTTTTGTTTGCCGATATAGAGTTTAGTGTGTTTAATCACATATATATCACATTAGTTATTATTGAGTAAGTAAGTAAGTTGAATATTTTATATTGTGATAATAATTTTTTTTTTTTTCAACAATTGTTTCATCTATAAAATGTCAGAACATTTGGAAATATGCTCACTTTCAGCAGAAACAGTCCACAGATAACCAAAATGCACGATAGAAAGCCAAAATAGTAGCAGATCCTCATAAATATTTCCATTTTTATTTCTTTATTTAACCTTTTTTACAGGTAACCTCATTGAGACACAACGTCTCATTCTCAAGGGAAATCGGGTCAAAATTGTACTTAATTTATATTAATTAACTGATGTCTAGTATAATAACACTTTTATTGCACTAACATTTTAGTTAAATAAAGCCTCCATTCATATAGGACATCTTTTCATTTGCTCTCATGCCCTTGAGAACACTTTTCTGAAAAATACTGCACACGCTTTGTGGAATGAATTACACGCGCTAAAAAAGGCTGCAGAAAAGGCTGCAGGGCATGTGCTTCGTTAATTCTCTTGGATTATTAATAATCAGTTTTTTATGATCTCTTTATCAGTACGCTTGTTTGCAGGGCTGGTTCCCCCCCTTCAAATCCTCAACTACTTTCTCAGATAACGCTGAAGGCTGTGATATGTTTTTAAACTGCATGCCGTACATTAATATCTGTGAAATGTCTATATGTAGGTCTGTGGGACATGGGGGACATGGGGGTCACTGAGCATGTGGTGGGGTTCGGTCTTACAGCCAGGCGTGTGCTGGGTTGTTTATGGTAATAACAATGAAGCAGGCTGGAGGGATGCTGGCTAAATGGAGTTGTTTGCTTGTTTGTTCCTCTCGCCAACTGATCATGTGATCAGGCGGCTGCTCTTCTGCACCATATGGTCTTTTCTGCTGCATGGGATTTTTTCATGGTGCGTGTAAAAGCCACATTAACACACATAAAGCCACACATACACATGCGCAGTCAAGTTTCTGCAGATTTCACGGGCTACACTGACACCATATTGATTTATTATCTTCCCACATGGTGCTGTGGTGCTGCAGTTACGAGATACATGCTGCTCTTCAGTCTTGAGCTGTATACACTTGTTCATAATATACATGTCGTTCATTTGACCCTACGCTAATAGCAGTACTTACAAAACCAGTGGGGAAATCATGACCCTCTTTCGTTAAATGTTCTTGATTATCGTTTGATTTATATATGATGTTGTTGTTGGATATGCATGTTGTCTAACAGAAGAAGTACGCCAAATGATGAAAATGATTGCTTTGTTTGTTTGTGTGTCAAATTGTTCCTCAATCATGCTGAGTCTTTATGAGGAGAAACATACAGACATGCTTATAGGGCTGCTCGATTACTGTATGGCAAAAATCATAATCTCGATTATTTGGGTCAATAATTTATATCACGATTATTGAAAACGATTATCCATTTACTTTGAAAACATCCATTTATTGAAAAAAAGGTGTAACAGTTGATTACCCTGAACTTTAAGTATAATTCAACTGAAAAACCAATAAATAAAAAAATAATAATAATAAATAAATAAAATAAAATAATCGTTTTATTTCGATTATGTTGTTTTCATAATCGTTGCCAGCCAAAATCGTAATTGCAATTAAAATACGATTAATTTAGCAGCCCTACATGCTTATCGTGAATGTTAGCCTCCAGTTGGAATTCAGTTTTCCTCAAAGGAGGAACAGAAAACACTGAGTGACTGTTTTGCACTTTGCTGGCTATTCTTCCTTTATGAAGAGAGGTAAAGTAGGCCAACTTGATTCAAATGTCAAATGGAATCAAAGGCTTAAAGTCTGAAGCAGCCATGGTTTGCTCCTTTGTGCCCTCTCAATTTTAGACCATAAACATGTATTATTCAACTGCCCAAACCAAACTTTTGTGAGTGACAGGCCCACAGAGCGTTATTTACTCTTCATTCAAAGTGCCGTGTGACGTTACAATCACATAATGCATGCACAAAGCATTTCTAATGGACTTCATAACATTAGTAAGCGGAGCAAATGAACTCCATGAAACTATAATGCCCACCGGTGGATGAAAAATAAACGGAAAGAAATGTGATCTTAA